CATATACCCTCCCAAGTCTAAACCAGGAAGAAGTCGAATCCCTGAATAGACCAATAACAAGTTCTGAAATTGAGGCAGTAATGAATAACCTACCAACCAAAAAAAGTCCACGACCAGAAAGATTCACAGCCGAATTCTACCAGAGATACAAAAAGGAGTTGGTACCATTCCTTCTGAAATCATTCTAAATAACAGAAAAAGAAGGAATCCTCCCTAACTCATTTTAATGAGGCCAGCATCACCCTGATACCAAAACCTGGCAAAGACACACACACACAAAAAGAAAATTTCAGACCAATATCCCTGATGAACATCGATGCGAAAATCCTCAATAAAATACTGGCAAACATAATCTAGCAGCACATCAAAAAGCTTATCCACCACGATCAAGTCAGCTTCATATCTGGGATGCAAGGTTGGTTCAACATACACAAATCAACAAACATAATCCATCACATAAAGAGAACCAATGACAAAAGCCACATGATTAACTCAATAAATGCAGACCTTCAGCAAAATTCAACAACCCTTCATGCTAAAAACTCCATAAACTAGGTATCGATGGAACGTATCTTAAAATAATATCTATTTACGACAAACCCACAGCCAATATCATACTGAATGGGCAAAAACTGGAAGCATTCCCTTTGAAAACTGGCACAAGGATGCCCTCTTACCACTCCTATTCAACATAGTATTAGAAGTTCTGGCCAGGGCAATCAGGCAAGAGAAAGAAATAAAGGGTATTCAAATAGGAAAAGAGGAAGTCAAATTGTCTCTGTTTGCAGATGACATGATCATATATTTAGAAAACCCCATTGTCTCAGCCCAAAATCTCCTTAAGCTGATAAGCAACTTCAGCAAAGTCTCAGGATACAAAATCAATGTGCAAAAATCACAAGCATTCCTACATACCAGTAACAGACAAACAGCCAAATCATGAGTGAACTCCCATTCACAATTGCTACTAAAATAATAAAATACCTAGAAATACAACTTACAAGGGATGTGAAGGACCTCTTCAAGGAGAACTACAAACCACTGCTCAAGGAAATTGGAGGACACAAACAAATGGAAAAACCTTCCATGCTCCTGGATAGGAAGAATCAATGTCGTGAAAATGGCTATACTGCCCAAAGTAATTTATAGATTCAATGCTATTCCCATCAAGCTACCATTGACTTTAACAGAATTGGAAAAAACTACTTTGAACTTCATATGGAAGCAAAAAAGAGCCCGCATAGCCAAGACAATACTAAGCAAAAAGAACAAGCTGGAGGCATCACGCTACCTGACTTCAAACTATACTGCAAGGCTACAGTAACCAAAATAGCATGGTACTGGTACCAAAACAGATATATAGACCAATGGAACAGAACAGAAGCCTCAGAAATAACACCACACATCCACAACCATCTGATCTTTGACAAACCTGACACAAACAAGCAATGGGGAAAGGATTCCCTATTTAATAAATGGTGTTGGGAAAACTGGGTAGCCATATGCAAAAAACTGAAACTGAACCCCTTCCTTACACCTTATACAAAAATTAACTCAGGATGGTTTAAAGAGTTAAACATAAGACCTAAAACCATAAAAATCCTAGAAGAAAACCTAGGCAATACTATTCAGGACACAGGCATGGGTAAAGATTTCATTCTAAAACACCAAAAGCAATGGCAACAAAAGCCAAAATTGACAAACGGGATCTAATGAAATTAAAGAGTGTCTGCACAGCAAAAGAAACTATTATTAGAGTGAACAGGCAGCCTACAGAATGGGAGAAAATTTTTGCAATCTATCCACCTGACAGAGGGCTAATATCCAGAATCTACAAAGAACTTAAATTTACAAGAAAAAAACCACCCCATCAAAAAGTGGACAAAGGATATGAACAGACACTTCTCAAAAGAAGACATTTATGCAGCCAACAAACATATGAAAAAATGCTCATCACTGGTCATTAGAGAAATGCAAATCAAAACCACAATGAGATACCATCACACCAGTTAGAATGGCGATCCAACAGATACTGGAGAGGACATGGAGAATCAGGAACGCTTTTACACTGTTGGTGGGAGTGTAAATTAGTTCAACCATTGTGGAAGACAATGTGGTGATTCCTCAAGGATCTAGAACTAGAAATACCATTTGACCCAGCCATCCCATTACTGGGTATATACGCAAAGGCATCTAAACCATTCTACTATAAAGACACATGCACGTGCATGTTAATTGCAGCACTGTTCACAACAGCAAAGACTTGGAGCCAGCCCAAATGTCCATCAATAACAGACTGGATAAAGAACATGTGGCACATATACACCACGGAGTACTATGCAAGCATAAAAAGGGATAAGTTCATGTCCTTTGCAGGGCCATGGATGAAGCTGGAAACCATCATTCTCAGCAAGTTAACACAAGAACAGAAAGCCAAACACTGCGTGTTCTCACTAATAAGTGGGAATTGAACAATGAGAACACGTGGACACAGGGAGGGGAACATCACACACCAGGACCTGTCGTGGGGTGGGGAGCTAGGGGAGGGAGAGCATTAAGAGAAATACCTAACGTAGGTGACGGGTTGATGGGTGCAGCAAACCACCATGGCACGTGTATACCTATGTAACAAACCTGCACATTCTGCACATGTACCCCAGAACTTAAAGTATAAAAAAAAAAACCCAGTGATGTCCATCAATGGATGAATGAGTAAGCACAATGTGGTCTATCCATACAATGAAATATTTATTTGGCAATAAAAAGGAATTACGTACAAATATATGTTACAACGTAGATGAATCGTGAAAAGCATTCTGCTAAGTGAAAGAAGCCAGTCACAAAAACCCACATGCTATATGATTCCATTCATATGAAAGTCGAGACTAGGGAAATCTGTAGACACAAGAGATTATAGTGGCTTATGCCCAGGGGTAGGTCAGGGACAGAAAGGAAATGGGGAATGACAGATGATAGCACGGGGTTTCCTTCCGAGATGATGAAAGTGTTCTAAAATTGGCTGTGGTGATGGCTGCACATATGTGAATATCCCGCAAACCACTGAATTACACACATGAAATGGGCGAATTATATAAGTGAGTTACATCTCAATAAAGCTGTCTTTAAAAGAAAAAAAAAAAACAGCCAGGAGTTTGAGACCAGCCTGGGCAACACGGCTCATGAAAGTAATCCCAGCTACATGCGAGACTGAAGCGAGAGAATCGCTCAAGCCCAGGAGGTCAAGGCTGAGGTGAGCTGTGACTGTGCCACTGTACTCCAGCCTGGGTGACAGAGCAAGACCCCTGTCTCAAAAAAGAAAAGGACAAGGACAGAGATTCTCAAACTTTACAGTTCATTCAGACCACTTGGAGTGCTTATGAAAAATGTACATTCCCAGAACCTACTGCAGAGATTCTGGTCTGGGTCTCCAACACGACCTAAGAATGTTTACACCAAGCGCCCTGAGGGATTCTGAGACGGATGGTAAAGAGCCGCACTTTAACTATCTCCTTACCTAGACTCTGAAGTTTGGCTCTAATGATGCCAAGTTTAGAGACCTGTTTGCACCAAATGAATTATGGATACAAATGTTAGATGACATTTTTAAAAAATGCCCCACCTGCAGTGTATTCCTTTAAAGTTGATGGGTATGAGTTAAGTTATAGATTTCCTCACAAAAGAATATTAGACTTTTTTCCTATGTAATTACAGAAGTTATAGATAGGACTATTAGGTCATGTATATTAAGAATATAATTTATTCTCAAAACCTTATGATGCCAGAGAAGGCTACAGCGTAGCACAGGGATTAAAACCATGGACTCACACAGGCGCGGTGGCCTATGCCTGTAATCCCAGCACTTTGGGAGGCCGAGGCAGGTGGATCACCTGAGGTCACGAGTTCGAGACCAGCGTGGCCAACACAGTAAAACCCTGTCTCTACTAAAAATACAAAAATTAGCTGGGTATGGTGGCGGGCATCTGTAGTCCCAGCTACTTGGGAAGCTGAGGCAGGAGAATCGTTTGAACCTGGGAGGCGGAGGTTGCAATGAGCCGAGATCATGCCACTACACTCCAGCTTGGGCAACAGAGCGAGACTTCATCTCAAAAAAAAAACACAAAAAAACAAAACAAAACAAAACAACCCAACCAAAAACACCACCATTGACTCTGGAACCAGACTGCTCAGTGTGAAGCCTGGCTATGTCTCTGGCTTCCAAAAACAAGATAAAACACAGGTCAGTCATCTGGGTATGAAATAAGAATTGTGAATTACTGGAGGACGTTACTCATCTATGCCTTCCTCACCACCTGCCCTTTGCTCACATTGCCCCAAATCCACTCCCTGTATTTTTTCTATGGGTTTCATAGATCAGTAAGTCAAAAAGCTACCCCTAGTTTGTGTGGTTGGAATAATTTACAGAACAAGGCTCCCAGATGGTTTCTCATGCTACTTGGTTTTGTATTTTCTGTCCTGTCCCCATAAAGACATTTATATAAAGTTGGTTGAACAGAAATGTGACCAAACTCGGGGAGCAGCTTTAGCATTCCTTGCAATAATGTTTCTTATTGCCCTATCCTCCCATTCCCTAGCCACCATCTGGCATACTATTTCCTATGAGTATTTTCTATTTCCTGTTTCTATTTCTCTATTCTCTATTTTCCTTTGCTATTAGAAAAGCTTCTATATTTGGTATGTGGCAAGTCCAAGTCTCAAATACTAGTGAGGCAATGTTGCATTAAAAAAATAGTTAATCACTTTCCCCAGGCCTTAAGATGCAACTTACAATACTTTCATTTCTTTTGTAAAATAAAACTAAGCTGAAAAACATTTTCCCTCAAAAAATAAGGGAAATGAATGTCTCAATAAAATAGTCAAGGAAACTTTTCATACCACCACAGAATGGAAGAGGCCCTCTTCTCTAGTGAAAAGTGAAGAAAAGGTTCTAATTGCAGGTTTCATGATCATAATCAGGTCCCAATAGAAAATGGTTTACTTACAAGGTCCTTTGTAGGATTTCTAACTCGGAAGAAATAAACTACTAAGGTGGTAGGTAAGAGTTCCCAAACAAATAGCACCACTCCAAATAATACGTATCCAGCATCTCCCAGCTGATTCTTCAAATCTGCCTGTTAGAAAGAGAGAGGGAGAGTCATTAGACCAAGGCAAGAGGAAATCAATTTGATTCCTTCTAACATGAACAGAGAATAATTCTAATACTATAGTACAATTAATTCCCCTATATTTTAGAATGTACTATAGAATATACTATGTTGATATTTCTATTTAAAGTATTAAAATATAGTATAGTACATTCTCCTAAAATATGCACATTGAAACCAGATAATAGTAATGGTCTAGACCTCAGACAGGGATTATTTCAACCATATGGGATAAATGATTATCTTCTTCAAAATATTCAGACAGAAACTTCTAACCTAGGATGTTTTAATACTTCATGCCCCCAAAACTCTTAAGTCCAAATTCACACTCTCACTTAAATCTAAGCTGATTTTCTTCAACAATTGAATAGTGAGAAGGTTATGCTGCCTCCTCCTAAATTCTTGAGAGCAGCATATAACTATTATCCCTTAGTCTCATCCCTAGGATAAAGAGGTCAACTCTCAAACTTTTCTTCACATAAACCATATCCTGTTGTTTACCCTTTAAAACCTACTGCAGGCTAGCTTGTCTAGAAAAACAATCCTCAGAGCCTAAGGTGTTTGGTGTGCGGCTCAGTGAGATGGCCAGAGAGCTTGGTGGAGCAGTGTTCTCTCTTCAGAACAGACAGAAGGTTCGTGAAGAAAGTGCATGGTTGGGTCTGGGCAACCATATCAGAAAGGCCATTGTTTCAAAGAAAGAACGTACCTTAAAAGACCCAAAACACCTACACTTAACCGTTTTGCCTTCTCTGTAACATCATCCTTAAAGCATGGTGACCAAAACTACTCAGGCTACTTTCAGAAAAATCACCCTCCTACTTCCTCTACATCACATCTCAATCACGTGTTCTTTTTTGATTCTGCACAAATAAGGTATACAACTGTGGTCATTTGTTTGCTTGCTCCTAGATTATTTTGGTGGCAACACACATCTAGATAACCATAAATATCCCATAAAAATAGAAGAATTTTAAAGATTGTCATATTTTGAATCTATTGCAATTATAAATTTATATATATATATATTTTGTTTGTTTGTTTGTTTGTTTGGAGACAGGGTCTTGCTCCATCACCCAGGCTAGAGTGCAGTGGTGTGATCACAGCTCACCTCAGCCTTCAGCTCCTGGGCTCAAGTGATCCTCCTAAGCAGCTAGGACTACAGGTGTGTACCAACATGCCTGGCTAATTTCTTAATTTTAATTTTTTATTTTTTGTAGAGATGAGGTCTCAAACTTCTGGCCTCAAGTGATCCTCCCAAATGCCAGGATTACAGACCACTGCACCCACCCATAAATTTTTTTGTCGCTTGCTTGTGAAAGCAAGATTAGGAAACTACAGAAATAAAGAATGGCTACTCCTCCATACACAGAATTTATAGGCAGAGCACCCATGCATTCTTAATTGAAAGAAAAACTGAAGTAATTTTGTTAAAACCAAATATTTGTTGTTTAATGGATACAGAGTTTGTTTAGGAAGATGAGAAAATTCTAGAGATGGATGGTGATGATGGCTGCACAACACTGAATGTACTTAATGCCAGTGAACTGTACTCTTAAAAATAGTTAAAATCGGGCCAGGCAATGGTGGCTCATGCCTGTAATCCCAGCACTTTGGGAGGCCGAGGTGGGCGGATCACGAGGTCAGGAGTTCAAGACCAGCCTGGCCAATACGGTGAAAGACCATCTCCACTAAAAATACAAAAAAATTAGCCGGGTGTGGTGGCACTCGCCTGTATTCCCAGCTACTCAGGAGGCTGAGGCAGAAGAATCATTTGAACCCGGGAAGTGGAGGTTGCAGTGAGCTGAGATTGTGCCGCTGCACTCTAGCCTAGTGACAGAGACTCTGTCTCAAAAAAAAAAAAAAAAAAAAAAAAGGTTAAAATAGCAAATATTAAAATGTTATGTATATTTTACTACAATACAAAATCAAATCCTTTGTGTATTATGCTTGTCTCTAATTAATCATTGTTTAAAGTTTAGATTTTCATATACTTGATTTCCTCAAAATAGTGCACACCCTTAGCAGTGCCTTGCCCCGCTTTCTGCCATGTTTGTCGTATCGGTTTGGGTTCAGAGATGTGGTTTTAATCCTTTCTAATTATAATACAATTTTACCTTGTCCTCACAGGTTTAGCTTATGATCATTTTATTCTTTCTTCCACTATCTAAATGCAGCTGAGGGTTTGAGCACTGTTGAGATGTTAGAAGCACATTTATAGATGGTTAGGTATTCAATACTTTTCCAGGAAAAGCTAAGGAACCTTTGCACATCAATCTAATACATTTATAATAGGGAAGTTACATTTCTTTACTGTTAATGGCTAATCTGTGTGTCTCTTTTCCTTAGTGGACCACAAAGCTCCCAAAGGGCAGGGAATGAGTCTGTTTGGTTTTGTATCCCTGGCATTTTTCTCAGTGCCCAAGATAAGGAAAAAAAAAAAATGCTGTTTGTCAAATGAGTGAATGGTGGTTCATTCTCATTGTTGTTTTGAGTTTTTGTGAGCGTGGATGGCAGATGACATTTCACTACCTTTGTTCATTTGCTTTATGACTCGTAACTTATACATGTATAGAACGAATTTTTAGAAGGAGTATCATACTGCAACAACTAGTGCCATGAGCTTTTTAAAACTTTAATATCCTCAGTCACTTTTGTCTAGATTTTCTCAAATGCCGTGTACATACTCTATTAAAAATCATTCTCTCCCTGAGGAGGATGATGACAAAAAAAACATTCTCATAACTTCATAGTCCTATGTATTTTCTGAAATCTGAATACAATTTGCTTAATCTTTGCAAATGTCACCCTTTAATAATACCATCTTACATTTATATGGAAGCATGTTAAAAAAAAAAAAAAAAAAAAGTAAGTACTGGCTGGCGCAGTGGCTTACACCTGTAATCCCAGCACTTTGGGAGACCGAGGCGGGTGGATCACCTGAGGTCAGGAGTTCGAGACCAGCCTGGCCAACACGGTGAAACCCCATCTCCACTAAAAATACAACAAATTAGCCAGGTATGGTAGCAGGTGCCTGTAATCCCAGCTACTCTGGAGGCTGAGGCAGGAGAATCACTTGAACCTGAGAGGCAGAAGTTGCAGTGAGCTGAGGTCGCACCATTGCACTCCAGCCTGGACAACAAGAGCAAAACTCCATCTCAAAAAAAACCAAAAAAAAAAAAAAAAAAAAAAAATTAAGTACTGCTTAACATGAGCCCTAAGAGGGAGAATGGAGTGAAAAGTATGTGTGTGCACATGTGTGGATACATACACACATATACGTAATCTCCTGCTTTTCTCAAAAGACATGTGAAAGGGAATGAGGCAGGTGCTGTGATCCCATCTGACAGATGAGTTCAGATGCCACACAGGGAAGTGACCTCTCAAGGTCACTCAGTCATTCACCAGGAGAAACAAGGAGCCTGTACTTCTCTGCCATGTGAATCACTGAAATGCAAATACAGTCGGCCCTCCATATCGGCGGGTTCCACATCTGCGGACTCAACCAAGCGCGGATCAAAAATATTTGAAAATAACAAATACTAGTAACAATTAAAAATAGGCATTTTCAAACAATGTAGTATAACAACTGTTTGCATGGCATCTGTGTTGTGTCTGGTATTGTAAGTCATCTAGAGATTAACTGAAAGCATACAGAAGGATGTGTGTAGGCTCCATGCAGATACTACACCATTTTATATCAGGGACTTGAGCATCGAGATTTTGGTATTGTCTGGGGTCCTGGAACCAGTGCCTCGAGGACACCAAGGGTCAACTGTGGTCCCTGGTCAGGTGACACCTCCTCAGCGCCCCCACTGACCTGGTCTGATACATTGTACCAGTCGTAATCGAAGGAATGGACGCTCTTGTTCTGAGAAAATGACAGGATGAACAGGTTGTAGCAGGCCCGAGAGGTGTAAAGCAGTATTACGGTGACACCGATGGCAGTCACTTGACACACGGAGGAGCCCTGGAAAAGAGGGAGCAGGAGGTATGGGCCACTCCAGGTCCAAGACACCAGCCCCCTCCCCAGCCCCTGCCTGGTATCAGTCTGGTAAAGCCCTTTGGGATCTCGGGGCACTGTGGTCTCGTTGGGTCTTCCATCAGAGTCCTTTTCACACTCCTTCCTACAATTTCAAGTATCTTCATAAGGACCCTGGGGCTTGGTTTGGAGATGCCTTTAACGGGGTTAAAATACGCACCATTTTCCCGAGGCCTGGAGTGTACGAGCAAGAAAGTCAGAGGCTTATTGGCTAAACCTCTAATGACTACTGCTCAGCTCCAAGAGGATCTTCTTGGCTTCTACACACAGCAGGTGAGCCCGGGCCAGGGCCTCTGGCTCAAGGAGGCAAGTAAACAATCTCAGAGGGACAATGGCTGGGGCAGAGCTCAGGACAGCTCTGTCCAGAGTCTTTGAGGCTGGGAATACAGGAGCCCTCATGTGACTTTGGGCTTGGAATTATGTGGACATCAGTGATTTGTGTCCCACGTTATGAAGCTATCAATTTCCAAAGACAGTTAAAAGACCCCTGGCTCAAAACAGATAGTTAACATGACCAAAAAACTAAAACCGACTTTTGAGTACTGTTATTAGACAGCCAGTCATTAACTAAATCTGAGATGCTATTTTCTTTTGCCAGTAGTGCTTTGTTAGCTTATGTGCCACAGGGGTGAGCTCACGAGGTCAGGAGATCCAGACCATCCGGGCTAACACGGTGAAACCCTGTCTCTACTAAAAATACAAAAAATTAGCCAGGCGTGGTGGCAGGTGCCTGTAGTCCCAGCTACTCGGGAGGCTGAGGCAGGAGAATGGCGTGAACCCGGGAGGCGGAGCTTGCAGTGAGCCAAGACCGCGCCACGGCACTCCAGCCTGGGTGACAGAGCAAGACCCCATCTCAAAAAAAAAAAAACCCTTAAATAGCCCCTGTGTGGGACACAATAAAACAGAGAAACTCAAGGCAAAATCAAGTCTAAAATTCATCAAAATGCACTTTTGCAAACCAGGAAACTATTTTTAGAACACGTTTCATGGGAGGGATCTTGACCACATTTCCACCTACCTTGGACTCCAAGTAAATGTTGGCTAATGACATCTTAGAGATTTTGTAGAGACAGATGGAGAGAGAGACGGCACACAGCACGAACAGTGTGTCATTAATGGCCACTCTTACGGAGACGATAACCTTCCTCTCCCAATTTCCCGTCTTTACCAGCACAGCACACGTTAAATTCACCAACAGGAAAACAAGGCTGATGAAGAGGGAGGCCAGGTAGAGGGGCAACCTGGAAAGCATGAGAGAAACTTGTCAACTGCCCATCCCAGGTCGATCTAGAAGGAAACTGTGATGTGTTTTGGTGAACTGCTAGAAGCAGACACACCAAAGATTACATTTAAGAGCTTGGACAGCTGGGCGCGGTGGCTCCTGCCTGTAATCCCAGCACTTTGGGAGGCCGAGGCAGGCGGATCACGACGTCAGGAGATCAAGACCATCCTGGCTAACACAGTGAAACTCCGTCTCTACTAAAAATACAAAAAATTAGCCAGGCGTGGTGGCAGGTGCCTGTAGTCCCAGCTACTCGGGAGGCTGAGGCAGGAGAATGGCGTGAACCCGGGAGGCAGAGCTTGCAGTGAGCCAAGATCGCACCACTGCACTCCAGCCTGGGTGACACAGCAAGACTCCGTCTCAAAAAAAAAAAAAAAAAAAAAAAAGAGCTTGGACTTTGGCAGTAGACGTTCCCAGATTCAAATTACAAACTGACCCCAAATTGTGGCTCTGGATGGTCCTTTACCTCTCTGAACTCCACTTTCCCTATCTGTGGGATGTTGTGAGGACTGAGAGCTCACGCACATTGGCTGGTGTGGACGCTTACTGAGCGCTCCCTACTCACATCGAAGAGTGAAGAGCATGGCTGGGGATGGAGTTTTACAGGCATTCTGACAACTCCACATTGTCAGAATTAACTTAGGCCAAATGCAACCTCTCTGAGCCTTGGTTCCATCACTTGAAAATAAGACTACATAATACCTACCTTATTTATAGGTCTTTTGTGGGGATTAGATGAGATAATGAATTTGTATAACGCATTTTACCCCCAAAAGTCATTATTGACATGGAGTCCAGAGAGCACTCACTAATGTGATTAAAAATCTGCCACAGGCCGGGGTGCAGTGGCTCACGCCTGTAATCCCAGTACTTTGGGAGGCCGAGGTGGGTGGATTGCTTGAGGTCAAGAGTTCAAGACCAGCCTGGCCAACATGGTGAAACCTCATTTCTACTAAAAATACTAAAAGTAGCTGGGCATGGTGGCACACACTTGTAATCCCAGCTGCTCAGGAGGTTAAGGCACGTACTTGTAATCCCAGCTACTCGGGAGGCTGAGGCAGGAGAATCACTTGAACCGGGAGGTGGAGCTTGCAGTGAGCCGAGATCACGCCACTGCACTCTAGCCTGAGTGACACAGTGAGACTCAGTCTCAAAAAAAAAAAAAAAAAAAAAAACGTGCCACAGAAACTGCCCAAGTATCAATAGATGCAAAACTCTACTTCATTGGCTATTTTTAACCTGTAGTTTCTCAGAGCTACACACTTCCTAAGTGACCTGTGTAAAATCTATGGGAAAACCCAGACATGAAAACTGGGATTCTAGTCCCAGATCTAGACATGCCACTGATGATGAGGGAGTGGGGAGGGAGAGGCAGGGGGTAGAAGAGAAAGAGGCAGACAGAGAAAAGGAGACAGAGAGGAGCAGGGGGTATGGGCCAAAGAGACCTTGGTTCAGGCCACCCAGGTCCGTGCCCAGCTGCAGTTTTACTTCCTGCCTTCAGATTCCAGTGTGACACAGCAACCCCCACTTACTCAGGCTCATCTGAATGGCATTTTATGTCTTGTCATTAATAATGTACGACCCACTGGCAAAATCTCTCACATAACTTTCAGAACCCAGTTCTACCAAAGAACTCTGTCTACCCGGCTCCCGCTCATCCTCTAGATCTTAGCTCAAACAGCACTGCAGCAGCCACACCGCGACTCTCCCTGCACCTCCACACATGCACACACACCACGGGTACACAGGCAGTCCGGTTTCTCTGACATCTGCTCTCCTGGTCCCCTGTATTTTAACTTCACAGACTCATCACAGTTTATAACAACACAGACGGGCGACCATCTGATCAATGCCTGCGTCTCCCCAGACAGAAAGTCCCGTGGAAAATGAGACTCTCCATTTCCACTCTCTCCATCCACGCTGTAGGTGGCAGGGTCTCCATGAAGAAGGTTTAAGAGGGAGGGAAGAAGGAAGGAGTCAGTCCACAAAGCATGACATCAGCTCTCAAAAGCTGCCCTTTTATTTCCTATGAATGCTCCAGCACAGCAGCTGCTAGGTCTTCCCCTGGCTAGTGGGGAAACGACCCGTCACAGGGGAATTAAACAACTTTCTGGGGAGGCGAAAAGGACTGCAGGCTTTTCGCTGCACAGCCCTGTGCTGGGGGCTGGCTGCTCATCAGGCCAGTGCTGAGAGAGTGGGATGAAGACCCGCTTGGAGGCGACCCGGGCCTCCAAGCAGCTCACGGGGGCAGGAAGGTGCCACAGTAAGGAACGTGTGTGCCCTGGAGGAGCGATACAATACTTGCATCAGACAGATGAGCAAGTCGGACATGCAGGAGGGGAGCCGCCACCCCAGCATGGCTGCAGTGGGATGGGAACAGCGTCCCCCACCCCCCAAGAGCTGTGTGATGATGGGGAGCGCTGTGAAGTCTTGGGGATTCGACCTCACGTGTCATGATGATGTGCTCAGAGCTTTTCAAACAAACATTAATGATTTGCCACGGACAGATTCTTTTCTAGGCCCTGATCGCTGAGCAAGTCTCCTCATTCATGTCACAGGCCCTGCTGTTCCCTCCGCACCTCCAACCTCTTCCCCACCAGACTGTGGGCATGAGAGGGGCAGCCCCACCCTCCCACATCCCCAGCCTCAAAATGCCATGCCGGAATCCCACTAAGTGCCCTATCTTTCAATTCTATGACACACTCTTTGCTTCATGTTCTCATGTTTCCACGGTCAGGATCACCTTGCACTGTGGAACACTGCATTCAACGTGGCAGTGCTTCTTCTCCTCCTGGAACCTGTTGTAAAGCCCTGGGTGTAGGAGGTCAGAATCGGGAAACTGAAATTTGCATGAGACCTTGAGCCAGTCACCTAACCAAGCAAGCCCCGCGGCTTCCTCCTCTCTAGAGCTGGAGGTGTACGGTGTCAGTCTCTTGGGGCCATGGAGCGGGCCAGGGAAATCATGCCTGTGGAGCTTTGAGGGCAGCATCTGGCTTACAGGTTTTCATGTGCTCTGCCCCATGTTCTTGCAGTGATGGGGGAATCAGGGGAGGGGGGTATGGGCCAAAGGAGCTGTGGAAAGAGACAAAGGCAGGGCCACTTGGGAGTTACCAAAATCTGTATTCTAGATTCTCAAAAGCTCTGCTTTTATTGTTTTATCTGCTGTGCTTTTGTGAAAAGCGCTAGATAGAAACATGTAGAACCGGCTGGCCATGGCCCTATTGTTTCTGGACCCTTGCTGGTGTGTACACACATTCCACGTAAGCAGCCACTTACGTTTTCCAGATGATTCCTTGTGGGTGCTGTCTGAAATACAGCTGACCCTTGAGCAATACAGGTTTGAACTGTGCAGGGCCACTTATGTATGGATTTTCCTCCACTGCCACCCTTGACACAGCAACATCTTCCTCTCCCTCCTCCTCCTCCACTTACTCAGCATAAACACAATGAGGATGAAGGCCTTGATGATCATCCGCTTCCACTTAATGAGTAGAAAATTTGTTTTCTCTTAGGATTTTCTGTATTTTTTAAGAGACAGCATCTGTGTCAACGAGGCTGGAATGCAGTGGCACAAGCATGGCTCACTGCAGCCTCGAACTCCTGGCCTCAAGTGATCCTCCCGTCTCGGCCTCCCAAAGTGCTGGGATTACAGCTGTGAGCCACTGCACCTGGCCTACACTCTTCCTCAGAAAATATGCTTTTTTCTGTAGCTTTTGTATGACTGACTTCAGACATCTTTTGTCTCAAGCCACGCCTCTGATCTGAGTTCCAGACTCATGTCCCTAACAGCCTGCCATTCGGAGGCCCTGCCCCCTCAAGCCAGCATGTCCCAAACTCAATTCCGAATGTCCTTTTTTTTTGAGTTGGGGTCTTGCTCTATCACCCAGGCTGGAGTGCAGTGATGCAATCCTAGCTCACTGCAGCCCTGAACTCCCAGGCTCAAGCGATTCTCCCACTTAAGCTTCCTGAGTAGCCAGGACTACAAGCGCATGCCACCACACCCAGCCTGTGTCCCTCTTCTAACACGCCTCTAAGTATTCCTATTTCTGTTAAAGGTGCCATAGCTTTTCATAGACTCTTTAACTGTAATGTGCTTCTTTGATTCCATCCACCCCCTATGTAATCCATTGTCAAGGTCAGTAGATTCTTCTTTCCCACTCTATCCATGCCTCCTGTGCCAGCCCCACACACCGTCTCATGCCTCTGACCAGAACTAATGTAGTTTCCTAATTCACCTTTGCCCTAAAGCCCCACCCCACATCTTCCAGACCCAAGCACTCAAGAGGCAGCTCAATCTATGGACAGGCTACATGCTAATCAAGCTGGTCAACTCCATGTTTTTTTGTTTTTTTTGTTTTTTTTGAGACAGAATCTCACTCTGTCACCCAGGCTGGAGTGCAGTGGCGCGATCTCGGCTCACTGTAAGCTCCGCCTCGCGGGTTCACGCCATTCTCCTGCCTTAGCCTCCCAAGTAGCTGGGACTACAGGCGCCCATCACCATGCCCGGCTACTTTTTTGTATTTTTAGTAGAGATGGGGTTTCGCCGTGTTAGTCAGGATGGTCTCGATCTTCTGACCTCATGATCCGCCCGCCTCGACCTCCCAAAGTGCTGGGATTATAGGCGTGAGCCACCGCGCCCAGTGAACTCCATGTTTTAAACATGTCCGGGTGTCTCCACATCCCGTCTTTCTGCAAGCTGATTTTTCTGCTTGGAACCTTCCTCCCCCTTGATTTTTATGTATCAAATCCTAGTCTCTGAGCCTTTAGGAGGCTTTGTTTAGTCTACTAAACAAAAGCCTGTTATTATCTTAAGAAAGGAGGCTGTGTTGGGAGATTTGAAACAATATGGAAAAAATATGTGTGATCTAACATCAAGTTAAAAAGTCAGGATGCAAAATTGGAAATGCAATACAGACATCAATTTTGTCTTGGGAAATCTGTATAAAAACCTACAGTGGA